CCAAATCAACAGAAGGGTCCATTTTAAAAGAAAAGAATTGTTTCAGCAAATAGCATTTATTTGGAATAGTCTTAGTCACATATTTAGCATGCAGTTTAGGCCACAGTTTAGAAGCAGTTTTGACTTCACCAATAGCCCTCACAACATTACCAGACAAGTACAAGAAAATAGTACTTCAGGCAACCTCTTCAAGTTCAGTTTTCTTAGCAGGAGGCAAGTGTGCACGCCAACTATCATCTAGAGCCCTAACAACTCTCATTTGCATTACAATTGCTTTCATTTTTTGACACCACATATTAAAATCACCTCTTCCATCAAATTCTGGTACTTCAAACTTAGCAGAAGCCATATTTATATTAAAAGATGATACACAAATAAGGGTGGAAGATATTAGCAAGACACAATCAAGGGCTCACAGAAATTGCTGCAATTAAAATCACAGTAGTACACTAAGTAATACAAGATTTTCAAGTTTCAATCACAATCAAGGAACATGCAGTGCAAACACAGATAAAACACAACAGTAGAGATCAGACATTCTATGTTTCGTAGACTTCTCCTAAAAGATCCTCCAGATATACACCCGTACTTACAGAAAATTAAAGATTGAGCATAAATAATTATTTCGGCCTAAGCCCCGGAGGTTCGGCGACCAGATCTAACGCCTACATCCCCCGTTTAGCATCCAAATAATGGATATCTGCTTGATTGCACTAATAGCCAAAAATGGCAGCCAAAAATTACAATCAGTTCAAGAATACGCAATAAAACCACAGAGACTTATCTTTACAAGTGACTTTGAATCGAACACACCCTCTAGCCAAGAACAAGACACATCACTCAGTTCTGTCTTCAAACTTCACAGATTACACGAATCACATAGATTCATTACACAAAATACTCAGTAATGTATCACTTCTCACAATCAGAAGTACATCTAAGAGATTCTAACATTTACACACTCTAATCACTCAAGAATGTGAAACCCTAATCAAAGAACGAGAACTTCTCTCTAGATGGCAGAGGAACAGACGAAAATTCACTCAACCAAATGAGCCAAACAGTGCACCAAGTGAGGGATAAAAATCAGAAGCCTCTAGACCTTTAATCAACGGTATGCCAGTTGTCAAGTGTCAATAATCTAGCAGTTAACATAAACTTAAGAAAGTGTTTTTGAAAAGCACGACTTTGGCTTAATTGTTGGAAGCATACTTAAGTCAAAGGTTCGAGTCACAACAGTACCTGATCCCATGGCCTGGGCTGTAGGAGACGTTTTTGATCCACAAGTTGGAGATACCGGGCCTATAGAGACACAATCATCTCCGGTGCCAATTTTAGAGTTCATAAGTGTGACTCCTAAAGATTTTTCCACGTGAATTATGTCGGTGTTTGGGCTATTCCCTGCTGCTGAAACGTTCGTTCCAACCAGCTTGGCGTTTTGGCATCCATAAACCAGAATGTGAATTTCTGGCTATCTATTGAAGATAATCCATTGATCATGATGTTGTTGGAATTGTAGAAGGCCAGTATCTGTTTATTGAAGATGCAGTCGAAAAGTTTATTAGAGTATAAGTAGAATTAATGTGGAACTACGTATATATTATTTGTTTTAACATACAAAGCCAAATATAAGTAGTTTTTTTTCAAATGATAAAAGTTCATTTCTTGTTTAACATAATGTTGCTCCATTTGGGCAATTCTTGCTGGAATTCTTGCAAACCCACAAATTAGTCCCTTGGCCATCTAGGATTCCACCAAGGACAGAAACTCTGGTCACTCTTTCGAGCTTGATCCAGTTAACAGAATTTCTAATAATATTATAATCAGATTGAGCTACAAGAGTGCCAATGCGTAGCGTTATGGCCGGGTTTTTGCATAACTGGCCTGCAAAACTCGTGGCACCGAACAAGTATCTTCTTGGTGGCACGTAAATGGTGGATGGTTCTATAGAAGCACACGCTGAGGCCCATGCACTCAAGAATGCATTGGTGCAATCAGTTTTTCCATCAGGTTTTGCTCCCAAACTTTGGACATCGTGATTAGCATTGGCTGCAAGTGATGAGTAGTGGAAGAAGGTGAAGAGCAGAAGAGGAAATATTGGAAAGAGAGCAGAAGACTTAGAAGGCGAGCCATTATAATTTATTTGCGTGTGTGAGTCAGAGAAGGAGAAATCGAGAGATGGGATGAGGAGTTGAAGTTGTAAGAGCTATTTATAGACTTTAGATTGTGAATTTTGAGTGCAAATCTCAACAATGTTTGGTCTCCTTCAATGTACACATACGACACAGGAAGCCTGTTCAGACGAATAAAAATTCTCAATTTGTCATGGCAATAGTGATTGAGGTGCAAATGCAGCACCTAGTCATGGCAATGAGCCAAGCCGAGCCAAGTCAAGCCAAGCCACGAGTCAAAACTCGAAGCTCAGGCTAGGCTAGAGCCAAAAAGGGCCAAGCTTTTTTTGGCTCAAGCCGAGCCGAGCAAAAGCTCGGCCAAAAAAACGAGGGTCGACCCGAGCTTTAGCGGGCCAAGCCAGCTCGATTTTTTTTTAAAACGGGAAGCTCGTACGGGCCAAAACGGCCCATGACACAAGCCAGCCCGAGGCCGAGTCGGGCCGGGCTTTTTTTGAGTCGAGTCAGCAAGCTTTTTTGTCATCCCTAGTAGTACCTGTACAAGGGAAATAAACCTAAGGAAATATATAAACGATGCTTTTGAATGTATTTTGTAATGAAGTTATGGATTTCTCAAAGTTGGTATGGTAATAAATTTATAGTGGAGAGTATGAAAGTAATCATAAGCCGGACAAATACTATACTAGGCGTATGGTGACGAGCACAATGACTAAAGTGAATGCACTATTTCTTCAGATTTTGACTGTTCTCTGAATTAGTTTTTTTTATTATTCTGTTATGTTTTATTAAAACATGATACAAGTGATTATGCCAATCAGGTTTGTCTAAAGAGAACATGACGATGGCGGTGTATATTATGATATTAAGTTCATGTTTAATTTAGCTAAAATGTTGATAAAAATGTAAGTCAAAGTGAATAATTAATTTTAAATACACATTTCATGGAATTCACAAATTTTATAAATTTTTCAACCACATAATTCATCAACTTTTATCAAAATCTGCTAAAATTTTAGTCCCTCATTCCTATTTATATAGGCTGATTTTCCTTTCTTGTCCCAATTATATAGTTTTTTTTTTTATTGAGAATATTTTGTTTTGTTGATTTACTAATGTACCCTTATTTCTTTATCACCTTCAATAATAATTTACTACTAGTTATTAATAATTAAATAAGAGTAAATTAGGAAATTTTTTGACGAAAATTATTTTTTCAATAACATTAAATAAGATTTCTTAATTCCTGTAAAAGACAAAATCAGCCTATATAAACGGGACGGAGGGAGTAATTTTTTGCAAAACCAAACAAGAGCTAAGTTATCAAAGTATTTCGTTAGTCAATATTATAATATACAATGAAAGTAAACCATTTATTTGTTATACCAAAAATATAAACTGAAGTAACTTATCAAGACATTTGGCTTTTTTAATTAGTGTGTTAGATTACATATGAATTAATAAATTTAATAAAATATATAATTTCTAACATACTCTTCGTATTTGAAAGAAGAAAAAAATGCAGGGCCAATAACTACCAATCTCTACGCGAATTGTTTATAACATGATGCGTTTAATGAGAAAACATGTTTTTGATCCGCACATCAAGAGCTCAGGGAAAAAATTACAAACCTGTGAACATTAGTGTCTACAACAATTTTTCATTAGTCCCAAATTCAATAACCTAAGTCCTTTTGTATTTATTTTTTTCTAATTTGTCAACAAAATATATAGTAAAAAATGGAGAACTGCAAGCACTGGCCATTCTTTATTGCTCATACTAGAATCAAAGGTTGTCTTATTACATTAATGATTTTCCCAACTTGTGTTTTTTTGGCAGCACTCTCTATTATTTGTCCCATTATAAATTAATCTTATATCCTAAGCCAACTAATTTTAGAATTTGTGTGCTCGTTCGAGTATTAAACTGATGGAATTATTAATGGAGTTTAATGAACTCTGATGTCGTATTAAGACGTGAGTTTTCATTTTAAAGAATAACTTTGTTACGTCGTGTATTTATTATATAGTTTTCCAAGGTGGGATATCCTTAAGAGTTGCCAAATGATAGGCCATAAAATCGGACATAAAATTCAAAAGTACGATAAGTTTGCCAAATGATAGGTTCATGCATATTTGTTCACACGCCAATGAAGAAAATTATGTCAATGAAAATTGAATTAACCCCAATATAGGCAGAAGATCATGGTACAACAGCAAAAACGCAGGTTAGAAAGGATGTTATTTACATGATTGATTCTTATTTTATTACTTGTCCATGCTGTCCAAGGGGTACAATATTTCCAAATGAAGTACATTATCCATAACACACTTGGAAATATGGACCAACATTAGTTAACCTTCCATTTGGTAAAATTTATAAAGGTTGGTTATATTGCAATCAAAATTTTTATTTGTATAGATGGTCTCTCTGATGAATCCATTAGATATCAGTTTTTCCACTTCTTCTTTCAGGGCTTCGTATTTTTTTGGGTTAAGGGCTCTTCTTATCTGTATGTGAGGGGTGAACTTTAGATCAATATTGAGGTGGTAGTAGCTGATATTGGGGTCAATGTCTACCATGTATTCATGCTTCCAATCAAATATATCCAGGTTTTGTCGCAGAAAGCCTTTAGCTTCTACTTGTCTTCTCAATCAGCTTCTTTCCTACTTGAAGCATTTTTGTGGGGTCTTATGGGTCTAATGGGAAGAATTCCAATTCTTCCCTTGGGGTCTCTTGACAATTGGCCTCCATGATTCAAGGATCTAGTCCGTTATCTATGGTCCCTTCTTCAGGGATCACCCCTTCTACAAGGGTATCTATTATTTTGATATCTCCTCCCATCAAGCATTTCAATATCAACCAATACCATGTTGATGTTTTAAGGCTCAGCTTTCCTCAAGGAATTAAGATAAGACTCCCTTGATCTCAGTTGATCACATCTAACTATGGTGATGCCACGTTCGATAGGAAATTTCATGCATAAAAGTGGTGAATACAGATAATTACCCAAAGTTCTTTTAATGTGGGTTGTCCCAATACACCATGATAAGTTGACATATGTTCCACAATAAGAAACTCGATGAAATGTTGGACTGTCAAGGGGGCGACCCCATTTCTATGGCAACGGTATTTTTTTCTCTAGGAATGATGATATCCCCGATGAAACCATATAGAGGGGAAGCCATAGGGGTAAGCTCATGATCTATCAACATCTTGTCATAAGTGGCCCCAAATAGATATTGACAGAGCTT